GGCTCTGGGCTGATGGCTCGGAGCCTGGAGCCTGTTTCCGATTCTGTGTCTCCCTCTCTCTCTGCCCCTCCCCCATTCATGCTCTGTCTCTCTCTGTCCCAAAAATAAATAAACGTTGAAAAAAAAAGAAAAAAAAAAAAAGAAAAAAAAATCCATTTTGATTTAATGTCCCCAGTATCTCTGTTTAATGTCCAGAGAGGTGGTTATCTCAAGACTGATTTATCTGGTTCACTGCCAGGGTCAGCCAAAAGCCTTTTGCAAGTTCCTACCCAGACATCAGATAGGCAGACAGAGAAATTTCCAAGCAATCAACGTGTGATGACTTCAGTTCGTTCTAAGCTTTGTTCACGTCCTAATATATTACGAAATTATTTCCCTCATCTTACGTCATGTCTGAAAGAGCAAAACCTGTATTTTCCTAGTCGCTACACAAGAACATATATAGAAGCAGCAATAAGTAATTTAAAAATAAAAAGTATTCTGATCTACGACCTAGAAGAATTCAGAACCAGTTCAAACAGTTTGATAGTAAACATATTTATTTCATGTAGTCCTCAGCTACTATGCCTGGTATTTACCTATAAATAGTTTTCAAATTAAAAAGGCAAGTGTTTGAGATCTTAGAGCTAAACAATGTCACATAAGAACTCACAGAACTGGTATTGGAGCCTATGAGATGGGCTGATAACTGTCCCAGAGTTAGAACATCTAACCATTTAGAGACTGTAAAAATGATGTATTTCAAACCCTGTCACTTTGAATCAATTTAGTATCAATATATTTGCTCCACTCAGTGTGGAAATAGTGATTTTTTTTTTTTTAAAGAGGAGTGCATGTCAATTTTGGCACATGCACTAAAAGAAGGCCAACTCTTTGGGGAAGAATTTACTTCTGGTAACTAAAACTGTAGTTCAAACCTATTAAGTTGGGGTGCCTGAACAATTATACCCACATTCTAATGACAACCTTTAATGTTGTAACAACAGCCTTCCCCCTTGCTGTCATGTGTTGAATTTTTTTCTATGACAAACACACTATCATTTGGGAAAGTCAAGTTCTCCTGGAATCAAGTAAAAACACAGATCTCTTTTACATTGTTAATCTCCATTTATAAATGGCCTCTCAAAGCCCGCTCTGGTAGAGTTTGAGACGGATCATTTCTGAATTTAAAGTCGTCCAATTTCATGCTACGAGCTGGGATAAAGAGGCACTGCCCTAAAGGTAAAGGACTGTGTTTCTGTTTTGTTTTTAACCAGGCTCCACGCCCAGTGTGGGGCTTGAACTCACAACCCTGATATTGAGAGTTGCGCGCACTACCAACTGAGCCAGCCAGGCGCCCCTAAAGGATTGTGTTTTAAAGAAATCACAGCTTTCAGTTAGGCCACAATAGTTACGACATAATTATACAGTTTGTAGAAGATCCATACAGCTGTTTACCTAACTAGGGACAAGTTTGCTATATCATTAGCATATTCGTTAGAAAAAGTAATGTAACTTGAACTTGAAACAACTTTTTTTTTTTTTAAACTTTAAGGCAGCTTTGAGGTGAAAGTATGAGGCTGAAATTACTGGTAAAAATTGGGTTTCGGAACTGCAGTTATGTACGGATTCCGATTATCCGTGCTACCGTTTCTCCATACCCTCTAAGAAACTTAACGTTAGATATGTTAACTTGTTCTACTATCTTCAGTCCAGAAGCTTTTACAGGCAAGTCTGAGCTTACCTATTACCCATGAGTTTTAGAAGTGTAGACAGTGAGGGGCGCCTGGGTGGCTCAGTCGGTTAAGCGTCCGACTTCGGCTCAGGTCATGATCTCGCGGTTTGTGAGTTCGAGCCCCGCGTCGGGCTCTGGGCTGACAGCTCGGAGCCTGGAGCCTGCTTCAGCTTCTGTGTCTCCCTCTCTCTCTGCCCCTCCCCTGCTCACGCTTTGTCTCTCTCTGTCTCTCAATAATAAACAAACGTTAAAAAACAATGTAAAAAATGTAGACAGCGAGGTCACCAAATCCGCCTTCCAATAAACCATAGAAACAAAGCATACAGTTTTCTACCCAATATTAACCGTTTCTACTTTATTATAACCGTTCTTCACCCAGTGTGTGCGTGCTTTATTTTAGAATTATAAAACTCTGTGTTTTGCACATTCCCATTTAAGGCTCATCTTTGAGCACCTCTCTTGGGTATCAAGAGAAGTGCCCCTTTGATGAGCGTAGGCAAATCGGAAGAATGGAAATTCCATAGCTACCCAGAACTGATGATTGTTTTTGTAAAACATCGTTAAAAAATGATCACATCCACGAGAGGGAACGTTTTTAGGAATCCTAGCAAGTTCACTCTTTATTTGACATCCAGTGGACCTCCCTTGTCTGTAACCATTTTTCTGTTCCTGCTGTTCCTTCACCGCTCCCTTTCCTCTACATCAGAACATAAACCATGAATTTGTATTTTTAAGTTCTCAAAGCTGAGAACGACAGCTGGAATATTAAACGGGACTTGTCTTTGTGTGTGTGAGAGATACACACAGGTGGCCCAGCATCAGTGGAATGATAAACAACCAACCGGCACATTTAGAACAGTGCACAGACAGTGGTGACTCACCAGTGTTAAGTGACAAAGCACAGATCTGCCTTCGAGCCATTTTAAACAAGAGCTTAAGAAGTCAGACCTGAGCCAACAACGGAAAGAACTGTTTACTCTGTCAGAAATAACCGGAATGTCACCTTGAATGCTCTCGCAAGGTTCTATCAGTAACCAAAGGCATTCTTAACAAAGCCTCCTTCATCAGTCTATGGGGTGGGTTTCTATAAACTTTGGAAATATGCTCATGCTGGATTATTAGTATCTTCAATTCACAAACATTAACTGAGCACCTAAAACGTGTCCGAGGCTATGCCAAGTACCCGACATAACGGGATGAACAATGCCTAAAACGGTGGCTCTCAACCCTGGCGGCCTCTCGGGATCAATCTCCACTGGCCTCCCCCCGGGAGGCATGAGTCGGGGTGTCTGGGACTGGCCACCTGCAGCTTCTCACAGCTCCCCAGCCGAGTGGAGACGAGACCCTTAGGTCCTGGGATCTCCCATTCCCTCAGAGAAAACCCCACGCCACAGTAACAGTGCAGGAGGAGGACACAGAAATGCCGTGACGTCCCAAGTACTCCAAACGCTGGCGTGGTGGACTGCACAGGGAGGGGACGAGGGACAAGGAAGGCTTCGCCTGTGACGTGATACTAACATCCTTCAGGATTCTACGTAGCCAGAGTGAGCCAACACTTCTCGAACAAGCGCGCGGGGCTGGCTGTTCTCGACGGCACCACTAACAATCATTGGAGGCCAGTGTGATCACCCTCATGGTGCCGATGAGGAAACTGAGGCACGGGAAGGCCAGGGACTCACTGAAAAATCACAAAACTCGTAAGTGGTAGTGGTAGGATCTGAACCCAGACGCTCTGCCTCCAGCACGACATAACTTCCGAGGGAAAGAACGTAATGGATTTCGATGATTTTTAAACTGTAAGAAGCCAACAACCACGTGTCAAGAAGAACCACCCCTCAGATAGCCGTGGTGACTAAGACCCTTGAAGACAGAGTGGGAGCTTATCATTCCCTTGTCTGACACCATGGCTCCTATTCTTCTGGAGGCTTCACAGCACCGTGAACGTTTCACTTTCCTTCGAGTTGACCGTAGAAGAGACTCAAAGACAACACCACCACAGAGACGCAATTTCTCCTCTGCTGAATCCCACCTGAGCCCCGGGGACACTGTATGAGCTACAGTGACCTGCCTATTAGGGCACATCTCTGTAACATCAGGGGCACCGGTGACTCTCCTGCCCACCCTTGAACTCTACCTTTCAAGTATCCAGGATGTCAGACGTGAGCCATAAGCAACAGACCCAGCGGGCATTTAACGGATTGGCCATTCCGGCCGAAATGCTCTGAGGGGCTGTGCCCACTAACACACACATTACCTGTGCCAGCTGGCCAGGCTCACAGTTCTTACAAGGACCCCTGGCATTCTGAAATGTACCAAACGAGCCCTATTTTAGCTAAATACCCTCGCATCTACGATGCAGACGAGGCAGACGAGACTTTGAGAGAGAAAACTTTCACGACAAATTTTAGCAAATAAAGCAAGAACGTAATAGGCTAGAAATTACCATGCTATTCCAAAAAAGGTAACGACGAGATAGTTCTCTATTAATTTCATTTAAACATTCAAAGAAACATTCTCAGATCACATCACTCAGATCTACGAGGAAGATACGATTTTTTTGAGTTTCGCTATTACGGTTTTAACTCAAGATGTTTTCTCATGAATGCTCTTCTCCCCCTCCCTTCGTTATACTTTCCTGGAACCCCCAGTTGGATGCATACCCACACTTGTGCAAACCATCCCAGGCCTTCTGTTTCTGTTTTGGGACATTTATGTCCTGTGAAGAGTCCAGAGTACCGAGCACACAGGAGACCCTCTCGAAAACCCCTTTTAGAGTAGACACTGAATGGGGACGGGTGAAATCCTCTAGAAGTTCTGACCACTGCTTAACCAGGAGCCTATCCTGCTGGCTGGGTCCTGAGTGAAAAGACTCCTATCCATCAGAGAGGCACAGGAGGCAAGAAACTGTGACTCCCACTTCCTCTCTGCTGCCTACCGGCCACACAGCCTGTGCCAAATTATCTACCTCCCTTGACGGTGAGGCTAGTCATACCTTGCTTGCCGAGAAGCAAGAAGCTGGTCCAGAAGATTTTACAAGGGTTTTTTTCCTAGCTCCTAACGACGACGTGTCTTTGAACCAAACCTTTCATCATCGCATACACACAACACAGTTTGGGATTAAACACGGAACTTCCTTAGAAGGTACTGTGGAAAATGTATGTGATAAATCTGGCAGGAATCCACTCATTTTAGTGAGTTAAAAAGATTCCATTTTTTCGCCCTCGCTGAGTACTGCTATCTATGTTCCTATCAGCTTACAAAGAACCTCCGGGGCCGCGTTTCTTACCTTTTGACTTCCTGTCATGGTAGGACCTCCCTCGATAATGGGGGGTTTCCAAGTAGAGATTCTCAAGGTCTTCTCGCCACGATTCTGGATTGAAGTGCTTCAGCAGGTCCTCCACGGTATCGAATTCTGCGACTGTTTTGTCCAGAGCATCCGCAGTGAGAGTGGGGTCCGTTACTGATGGAGAGTGATAGGATACCCCCTAGGAGTGACACACAGCTCAGTGTACTCAGAAAAAGTCCAGTGCTACGAAATACAACGGTCACGCAACTACACGGGAGGAACATCGACAGGCTTTTGATCCTAAGACGTTATGTGCGTAAATATCATGTGAAAGTGCTCTGCCAGAGTCTCGAATGACACCGACTGGGAAGTGAGAGTCATTCACGGTTTTGCAAATCACAACCAGGGAGGTTATAAAACTTCTAGTTCATCTGAAATATAATCATTACGAAGGTATTGACTAAATGGCAAGATCAAAATGACACCATCCCATTTCTTGGTTCAAGGTCCCAAATCATCCATGTTGGCATCAACAAACAACGATCAGGATTTCAATTCTGAACTCCTTCCGTGGCAACTTTGGCAGAATCCATTCTATTCCCCCATGTTTAGCCTCCATGTCTCCCCTGCACAGGTCACCTGGCATGACAGGGGTTGTGTGAGCAGGGTTTGAATGTCCTCTGGAGACCATCTGATACACTGTGGTACTTTAGCCAGGTTATTTACTGTCAACAAGGATAGTCAGTCTTCACCAAGACTGGGAGATTCTCACGGGAAGCACACATATACATTTTTAAAGTGCTATTGCTTGCTAGTGATCCCAGCTGTCGTTAAAATATTCTCAGAAATACTCTTTAAATAGGGACTACAACATCACGGGGAGTCTGGAAGCGATCACGCATTTTGCCATGGGTTATGTCCCCACAGAAGTTTCCAAGCACTTACTTCACTAACCCTTGTATAATCCAGAGGCAAATGAGCCATGATTCAAACATCTCTGTAAAGACTCATGACCCATTAACAGGGAGATAGAGAGCACAGGGCCTCAACTGGTTTCAAAGTGTCTTAAAGAAACTGCCAGACAAATAAGACGCCTCAAGGGCAAACATCTCCTATCACTTCTGGAAACGGGGAAGTAACAAAAACCTCTCGGGTAATGTTGTCTCTTTTTAGCCAGTCAAGGAAGGTCCAAGGTGTGTCAACAATGATGAATGACCGCCTGCCTCCAGAGGAATGGTGGTCCCTCTTCAGCAAGACTAAGGGGTCTTGTAAAAGCACGAACCTGCCCCTGGTGCATCTTAGGAGCGGTTTTCAAATAGGTCCTGTAGCGGAAAGGGGGTGGGGGGAGGTGGAGTTTGGGGAACAGGCAGCGAGACCTGAGCTCCGCTGGTGAAGGTAGGAGGCCAGCTCTCTAATCCAGGTGTGTGTGTGTGTGTGTGTGTGTGTGTGTGTGTGTGCGCGCGCTCATGTGGGTGTATGAGTGGGTACGTGTGCATGCATGTGTACATACATGTATGTGTGGGTATCTGCGTGTCTGTCTTCCTGTGTGTGTGCGTGTCTGTGTGGGTACACGTGTGCACGTGTGTGTGTGGATGGGTACGTGTGCATGCGTGTGTGTGTCTGATACAAACTGCATCCCGGCTATGCCACATCATTCCTGTTTCCATCCCTCCTGGCGTCAGGTGCTAGAGTCGGATATTATGCTTCCGTATCAAAATTTCAAATTCCCATCCAACTTTGTATTATCTGGATAATCTATAGTCTACCTGGCTCAGTTCACCAGGTGATTTACATTTAGCCTTGCATCACGATCATGTGGGTCTAAAATCCAAAAATTCAAAAAGAGCTGGCTACATTTGGGTGCAGGGCAGCATATAAAAACTTTGAAATTAAAACGCCTCCCTCTTTTCTGAAACCAAAGCAGGAACACGAAAGAAGCCATGCTCATGCACGTGGAAGGAAGCCTCTTACGATGAATCTGGGGGGCTCCGGGCAAAACGTTTCCTGGGCTTGCTCCTGACTGTGCCGAGAGCTTGTGTGTCCCTAGACATCGCTTCAGGAGAAAGCCCTGGGTGGGGGCTCTTAGTCCCTGAGGGGGATGGGAATCTAATGTCTCCCAACATTAGTCTGAAAAGCAAGTCTGAACAAACCATAGGTAAAATGTGAAACCGTCCTCGTGTGACAGAAACACCAGGTCAGGAAATGAGGTGAAGGACGACTAGATGACCTCATAAACCCACCGGAACATTTGTATTTCTGGGGTAATCGTTTAAAAATTATTTTTATGGGAGAGAACTCACTGGGTATGCCCCCTCTCCGTGGCACCATAGATCTGATTTCATTACAACCGAATGACTTTAAAATGTTAACCATTTATAAAAAAAAGAAAAATGCCCTGAAAATGATGATAAGCCATCCGAGAAACACAAAATATGGCTTATACAAAGTTCATGGCGGGTCCAAGGGTCCTTACTCCTATTCCAGAGGGTTCCTGAGAACCAGAACGCTGAGGGACACAACTCTGGGTCCCTGCTATTTCCAGAGGGCTGAGTAGCACCTGGCCTTGGAATTGGGCCCAGAAAAGTGACCAGGGGATGCGGACCCAGCAATGGGCTTCTGGGGATCCTCCCGATGGACGGCACAATCTTGCTCTCAAGAGGACCCGGGTTATCCTGAATTCGCTAAGGGTCCCTGAAGCATGTAAGCTTCCGCACTTGGGGCAGGAATGTCTACGCCTCTCCGAGCCATCACGCGTACGATGCTGGAGAAGCCAGAGGACTTGACAGAACAGCACGCTGGGGTCCAGGGGCAAAAGCGGCCACCGGCATCCACTTGGAATTGCCAGTCCCAGAATGCCACCTGGCCAAGCTTTCCACCGAGCCTGCTCCCAGGACTAAGGTATCACCTGCCTCGGTTCCATTTTCGCCTGCCTGACAAAGACGCCTGCATTCAGCTAGGTTCAGAGTGTGCATTCGGGACTATCACAAACAAAACACTCTCAATATCGCCATTAGAAGCCTCACCGACCTCTTGAATGGGTCATGTTGTTCTAGTCCAGTGGACGCGCCAGGTGAACGAAAGAGCCACAGAATCCATAGCTAAGGAAATCCTGCCATCTGAAGGAAGGTTCTCAAAAATCCCCCAGAGAGCAAGGGATAGCCCATCACATGAAAAAAGAATCAACTCTGACTTGGCCGCACGGACCCAGGTGAGAGCCACGGGCAGGCTTTCGCCACGCTTTTGTGCCGCTAATGAACACCTGCATTTATGACCTTGTATTTTACTGCTACCTGGGTGCTACTCACAGGACTGGCGGAAACAAGGTCTGTTCTTTCTGAACAAAGGGAAGTAGCTTACAGAGGAATGACTACATTCGCGGGGAAGAACGTGGGGGTGTGGACCACGTTACGGTTTCAGGGCGGGTTATGTTTTATTTCCCAGTCAGAGGGCACATGCCTGGTTTGCACTTAAGCTATCTTGCTGTAAACACTGGGATTTCTCACATCTGAAGAGATCCCTGAAAAGGCGAAGGTTCCAAGTGTCTCCTGGATTATCCAGAAACACTCTGGCAAAATTCCCCACTTGAGCCTATGCCACGGACCAGTCTGATGTGTCTGCTCTGCCTGGACGCTCCTCTAGCTGGAACCTTCCGCTCTGAAAAGGATAGATACTGAAGTCCTTGTCCGTCCCTTGTCCCTGCAGTGGGTACTGGGGTTTCCTGGCGCGTGGCATCGCCCGCTATAATCTACGTGAAATGGTAGAGCTCATCGCGACTGCAACATGGCTTCTGGTGAAGCTAACAGATCCTTCCACAGCTGGAGCTGTTCTGGGCTTGACCTTAGCTTCCCCATCCGTTTTTTTTTGTTTTTTTGTTTTTTTTTTCTGGCAACAGAAAACTAAATTACTTACGGAGATAGAGCTAGTGACGGACTCCCAGTTGGTCTCTGAGGCTGCTGCGGGTTGGAAATCTTCCTAGAAGGCAAGAAACATCCATATGAGTCCATCAGACCTCTGTTTCGTTCATTATGTGCACAGTTTCAGTATCTCGGCCATCTAAAGCTTCTTCCAACTGAGTGACAACAGAAATGAGGGTACCGTCTTGCTGGACAGGTCACCATTCGTCTTAGGCACCTCTCCTCAGGAACCCTTCTCATTCAAGACACGGACATTTATGGACATAATGCATACAGTCACATTCACTCATAAGGGCTGGTGAAATGGAAAACGTGCAGACAGCAGTTCAGATTTTAACTCGGTCACCTGCAGGCTGTGTGACCTCAGGCAATCTACTTAACCTCTCCGATCCTTCTCTTCCTCATCTGTAAAAGGCTGGTGCGGGATGCTCCAAGAAGAGGGTAGTTTTGAGAGCTGCATGCGCTAATTATGTAATTACAACTCGCACTTAATAAGGTGCCTCATAAAGAGTAATAATAGTCATTATCAGTATTGTTTATCTGGTTTGAACTCGGTTCTGCATCATGTTCAATCCTGCCGACTGAGCTGGTCTACGGTATCAGCGATCTTTCCAAAGATAAATTAACCGACAACGGGCCATTCCTGACTCTATCAAGAAATGTCAGGCAGAACAGCAGGGGGAAGGAAATGGCCTTGGAGTGACAAAGTGCTACCCGAGGAAAGAAGGTAATGGGCAGACCTGAGACAGTTATCTCAGAGAAACCTCAAAGGGTTGGTGACAGCAACGGATCTCGGAGAAAGAAAACTTCTCCTAAAAGACAAATGGGTCTCCAATTGGTGACTGTCTTGCTAATTACTCTAGCAGCAGTAACTGTAAAAAACAGAGTGGGAAGGAAAGCTGATTCTACCATTTTTACACGTCACAGACGGTTTCTTGAACTTGCTAAAATAAAGCGAGTCAGGTGAGGTCTCCTAGCCAGACCAGAGAGTATGTGAAGATGATGTTGAGGAAAATTCTGATACTCAAATCTGCCGGCTTATTTACCCAAGTATACTTACTGAACGAGAGCCAAGTATCAGGTCTAAATTTCATTAACATTTTGAGGAGCTAGAAATGCACGTGTTAATTCCTCATGATGAGACTGGTTTATGTATAAATGCCTGTGTTAGAAAAATTCAGTTGTTTACCAAGAGAGAACTAAGTCAAGCGTGGGGTTCAAGGAATGAACATCTATTAAAAACTGGCTAGATGTCATTATTCTGGTCTCAACTTCAGGAAACGTGAGACAGAAAGAGAAATTGGGGTCTCTGCACTCTGCAAGACGGGATTCTCATAAAAAAGGACATGGAGATCCCACAGGAAACGGATGCATGCAAACAAATGAAGGTTGGTATTTATGGAAGTCTTCCGAGCAGGTGAGCAGGTGACGTTGGGCAAGAGAGACAACAGCTTCTCCATGTCTTGCAGGGGCTCCTGGTGGGAGGACAGATACCAGGTAGGATAAGTACCTGAGCAACCCTCACATCATGGGATTTTCATTTGCATTCATTCATTCATTCATTCATTCAATATTTGCTAATCACCAATTATGTGATACATTCTAAGCAGAGGGTAGAATCATGGAACCAAGAAACGACACCTTCCCTCCAGGATGTCAAGAGGTAAACACATAAACGAACAGGTAAGTAACACGTGCAATAAACTCATGTGGGACCTGGGAAGAAGTGGGCTTAGAAAAATCTGACCCAAGAAGGTGACTCTTGAGCTGAGTCTTATAGACTCAGGTAAGTAGATAAGGGAGGAGAGCGTCACTTGTAAGAAAGGTGGGGTACAACACTCAAGGACAGACTGATGTCTAGACAAGGGTGAGGAACATACACAGAAAAAGTTGTTCCTGGGGAAAGTTAATGAGTCCTGTTGGGCACGGCATGTTTGAGGTGCCCATGCAACATCCAAGTAGAGATGTTGAGGAGGCCATTTGCTAAATGAGAGTGGGCCATGTGAGGGAGACCAGGACTTTGGAGAGAGATTTGAGAGTCACCAGCACAAAAATCCAGTGATGGGTTATGTTGACCATGCATGAAAATCACAAGAGCGACAATCTTAAAATCTTGTAGCTGGAAAGACGTTTACTATTACCTAGTGCAATCTTTTCATTTTAATGATCAGAAAACCAATTCTCAGAGACATAAACGGTATGGGTGTGCTCCATAGCATGTGGCCAACTTCTTGCAAAGCTAGGAGCACTAGAACTCGTTTCTAAGTACGAGCTGGGTGATGATCTTTCACATCATTGTAGCTGGCTTGGACGAAACAGTGTCCAAAGGGAAGTTAAAAGAAAAACAGGAGAGGCATAGAGCAGAATATTGGTGGAAGCTTCTATGGGGATACCCTTTGAGGTATTCTTAGTTAGATTTTATATCTATACTTGCTAAATTCTGTGACTTCAATTTACTTCATTTTCTTGCATAGGTATATGGTAAAAATGTTCTGTTAAGCACTTTTTAAATATAAAGTGTCTTTATGCCCACACACCTAGACAAATACTACACAAAAACACTTTTCTCTTCTTTACTGTCTGGGCTACAGGATTCCAGCTAAAAACTTTAACATGTAAAAATGACAGAGGATTTCATTAACCTCCAGATAAAAAGTAAATTTATCTTCTCTTAGCAACATGATTATGAGACACTTAAAAGAAACCAACCTTCTTTTAGGTTATTTCAAAATTTGCCATTAATTATAAATGGCATATTTAAAATGAGCTTACAAAAAGGAAAAATGCCTCTCCAAGGAATAAAATGTAGAACCTATGAATTTTAGAGCTGAAAGGTCAGTCTTGGCAGGGGAAGGAACATAACCATTTGCTGTCTAAATCTATCCTTAACATGATGATCTCCTCCACCATAATCTCCCAAGGCCGGGCTTCTCAGTCACTAGCTTTCTCCAGGCTACACTGTCTCCAGAGCCCAGAGTCTGTACTCCACAGGATGGCCACGGTGGCCTTGTCTTTTGCCACCTTACTGAAAAATAAGTGACATATAGCACCATGTAGGTTTAAGGTGTACAAAAAGATGATCTGATACGTGTATATGTTGCTAGATGGTTACCACAAGAAGGTTGGTTAACACACTGAGGGCCTCACATAATTAAAATTGTGTGTGGGTGTGTGTAGTGAGACTATTTGAGAATACTCTCTCTTGGCGACTTTCAAGTATATAATACAGCATCGTTAATTACATCAGCATGCTGTGCATTAGACCCCTAGACTTTATTCACCTTATAATGAGAAGTTCGTGCCTTTGGGCCAACAACTGCCTGCTTCCCTACTTCCTTGACCCTGGAAACCACCACATGACTTTATTTCTGTGAGTCTGGCTTTCTTTTAATCTTAAAAAGCATTTTAAGGAACCTCTATGCCCAACGTGGGGCTCAAGTTCACGACCCAAGCCCAAGAGTTGCACGCTCCTCCAATTGAGATAGCCTTTTTTTTTTTTTACAGTATGCATATAAGTGAGATTCATACAGTTTTGTCTTTTTCTACCTGACTTACTTTACTCAGCCTAGTGTCCTCAAGGCCCATCTGTGTTGTCTCAAATGTAGGATTTCCTTCTGCCTCATGGCTGAATATATACATCTCACATCTTCTTTACCCATTCCTCTGCCAGTGGGCAGCGGGTTGTTTCCACATCTTGGCCGTTGTGAATAATGCTGCAGCGCACGTGGAGGGTGAAGGTACCTCCTCAATACCGTGATTTAGTTTCTTTCAATTGTGTAACTACAAGCGGGATTGCCGGGTCGTACGACAGGCTTTTAATTTCTTGAGGAACCTCCCTACTGTTCTCCACAGTGGCTGGACCAGTCTGCATTCCCACCATCAGTGCACTAAGGTTCCATTTGTCCACATCCTCACCAACATCTGTCACCTCTTGTCTTTTGGATACTAGTCATTCTAACAGGTGTGACGTGATACCTAATTGTGCTTACGATGTGCATTCCCCTGCTGGTTAGTAATGGTGAGCATCTTTTCATGTCCCTGTTGAGCATTTATAGGTCTTCTCTGGAAAAGAAATGTCTCTTCAGGTCCTCTTCCCATTGTTAAATCAGATATTTATTTATTTATTTATTTATCTATTTATTTATTTATTTATTTATTTATTTATTTATTTTTGCTATTGAGTTACATGAGTTCCTTATATATTTTGGATGTTAATCTCTTTTCAGATATGTGGTTTGCAAATACCTTCTCCCATCCCATAGGCTGCCTCTTCATTCTTCTGTTTCTTTTGCTGTGTAGAAGCTTTTATAGTTTGATATAGTCTCACCTCTTATTCATTGCCTTTGCTTTTGATATCATCTCCAAAAAAATCATCACCACAACCAATGTCTCGGAGCTTTTCCCTTATGCTTTCTTGTAGGAGTTTTCCAGTTTCAGGTCTTACATTTAACTTGACTCTATTTTGAGTTAGTGTTTGTGAGTGGTGTTAAGATACGGGTCCAACTACATTCTTTTACATTTGAGTATCCAGTTTTCCCAACACCATTTCTTGACCTGAGTACCTTTCCCCATCAAATATTTTTAGCTACTCTGAAAAATTAGCTAACTTTAGATGGATGGGTTTATTTCTGGGCTATTTGACTCTATTGGTATCTTTTAAACGTGTAGATGAACTCACTTCTCTCTTCTGCTTAAATCCCTCCAACAGCTTTCCAATGTACTTGGGATCTGGTCTTGTACAAGGTGGCCCCTGCTTGCCTCATCCGCAGCGTCTCTCTCTGATTTGAGGTTCCACGTTTCCCACATACTCCACTCCCACCAAAATGGCCTCTTACCATCTTTCAAATAACACTCCGGGGGTCTTCCCTTAGGTCAAAATCTGCTGCTGTTCCCTACATCTGGAATGCACTTTCTGCAAGTGTTACAGGGACTGGCTCCTCATTATTTTATGCTCAGATAGCACATCTGTAGAGAACCCTCCTTGAACGTTTTATTTAAGATAACCCCACTCTTGGCCACTCAAGTCACTTCATTTGCTTCATTTTCTTTCAAGCATTT